TGAATTGCAATTCCCATCAGCCATATTCAGCATAGCCAATGGTAAAGAATACTCAAGAGTTGCAATCCAACAACATATGAACAGCTGGATGATTTGAAGAGGCAACTCAAATAGAGAATACACAACGTAATCCTCTACAATCCCAGAGAGCTAACAGGCATATCCTGTCTATATGTCAACTCGAAGATACTCCATGGGTGTGAGAGTAACAACATGAATTCTAGCATTTGGAATAGAATTAGCCTTCCTGATCTTGCCTCTTTAATAGAGAAATAGATAGCATTTTTATCTGTAAGCCTTTCAGGATAGACAGAATTATTAATAATTCCATTAAACAGAACAAACCTTGAATGCTTCAGATATTATTGGACTCCAGAACACTAGATTATGGTTAATGGTTGGGAATAGTGAGGGCTGCCGTCCAACGACAAATGGCAGACTTAACCCAATGACCACCACTGTTTGTGACAACTCTGACTGCCCTGATGACAAAGTCCATGGACTTGGAGCATCCCCACAATCTAGAGAGAGGCATCAGCAACCAATGAACAAAAATCGTTGAACAGAAATTGGCCATATTTTTATCATCAGATAAAAATAAAATCTCAGTGGTCCATAACCAACCTTCATGCTTGTCAAGTCACAGATGAGGTATTTGTCTCTTCAACAGACTGAGAGTGTATCTGCCCATGTCTGATTAAACACACACACACACACACATATATAGAGTGCCTATAGTTCACAGAAGGGGACAAAAATGCTCACTAATATAGAAACCCTATGATAAGTTTATCTTAGAGTTGCTGTAAGTCAGAAAAGACTTAAAGGCACAAAATAATAACAACTACTTCTGAAAAATTGATCCAAATCTTAAGCAGCATCAAAACCTTGGATATTTCACATTTGTGTAGGTGAACTCACAACAGAACGTTGCCAGTCACCTGTTCACCTTAATTACTTCCTAGCATAGCATAATAATGCTACTGAAAAACAAATAGCACAAATTCCATACAGATGAATAAGATGATGATCAGTGGGGTGACTGTATCCAATTAAATAATTGTCAAGTCAGCTTTGCCATTATCTATTGATATGCCACTGATAAACAAAACAAAAACAAAAACGAATGGAGTCACATACATTTAAATCAAGGCTGGGATGTTGGTAGACTTTAATTTCTATTGGTCCTTGATAATACAGATAATGCAGGCAGTTGTTTAAAGTTGCACTCTCCAAACATCTGGAAAACCAATTTTGTTCAATTCAATGTCCCAGCCCATAATGCACTCAACATTCCAACTTAAATTTGATAGCACAGGCATATGTTAATAGCATTGGCATGATAGGTGAGTACTGTTCAATGGTCAGGAATTCTGGAAGCTGGAGACCAAGGCAACTGGAGGGCTACAAGTTGTGCAGGCCTGCTCTGTGCCATTGCTTGCTGGTTCCTGTCAAGATTCAAGAAAAGAATGAAACAACTATAGCAAATGGGTACAGATTGTGATATACCGGGGGAAACCACTACCAGTCCTGCGCATTGGATAGCTTGAGACATACTGGGTTAGGAGGACAAAGGTCCATCTAAACCAAGCATTCTCTTTTTAAGTCCAAGAGTTCATGATCAACACTGATAGCAAAAGTCATCTTCTGTAATTTGTCCCCATGCAGGTGGCTTGCAAATTGCCACCATCCTCTTACATCTATCAATAGTCTTACAATCCAAAATATTTCACTAATCCTTTAAAAACTGTGTGCTAAGTATCGCGACTTCCTGATCATCACGCTAGATGGCACGAGTTAATGACCCATTTTGTAATGACATTCCCCCTTTAGCATATCTTAAAAACCATCAGCTTCAAGAAACAATTTTAATTCTTAAATTTGAAAAGCAAATAATTATTCTCTAGGCATTTTTCCACACCACTTGTTCCACACAGCTGTCCTATCCATAGTCTTGTTATACTAGTTAACAGAGGGTTCTATGTTTGAAATCCTTTGCCCAATCTTCCGCAGGCTTGCCTGGTATTGCTTTCTGTGAGTTCCTTCCCCTGTGCTCCAAAAGCTTTATCTGGAAAGTCCCTTAGTTTTTGGGAGCAGGTCAGGGATGAGCATGATACTTTACCAAACATTTTCTTTCTGCTTTTTCAAAAAAGGTAAAATGATCCCTGCTCTTGAGCTCTCCAGTATGGGCGAAAACACAATAGCAAACAATATTCTGCGTGGTCACATTTATGAAGCCTTGGTTTAATCCCAATCTAATTACATCCCTGCCCTAACTTGTTTTTCTTCAACCCGGGACTACAGATATGATTACAGCTAGAAGAATATAATGAACTTGTTTTGGAAACGTCTTTTATTTATTTCTTTTTAAAGTTTCACTTGAGCATCTAGGCAAACAAAGAGATCCACATAAATGTGAAGCCTGTACCCAGCATGTTAATACTGGTTGATGAAAATCAAATATAGTATGCTCATGCTTTCTTGAACTAGTAAGATATGAATGTAATGTTTCCCAATACAATACTGCATCCTCCTTTCCCCATTTTTCCAGCACTCAGGAGACTAGAAGTCCTAGATACACTGGCTGAGAAAGTCCAGGCCCCAAAATTACTACTGTATCTATAAATTCTAATTTCGACTCTTTGACTTTAGTTAAGAGACAGGATGTGCTGTTGCTTGCTGTCAAGTCATCTTGTGTCAATTACACAAATAAGAGATCTGCAAGTCACCCTGTTATTATCATCTATCCTGCTCAGTCTTGAAACCCCACTTTGTGACTTCCCTGTCTAAATCCATCTACCTGTAATGTGGTCCTTTTCTTTTTCTGCAGCCTTTCACTTTACCAAGCATTATGTGTCTTTTCTAGAAAGTCACTCCTTGCCATGATAGGAAAGATAAGATAGAAATGATTTAATTAATACTTTTTCTCCACTGTACAATCCAGATTTTAAAGCAATATCCTACACATACACATTGTCAATGTGTATGTGCACACTGAAGTATATTTTTTCCCAACTGAATCTTTTTATAAGAATAGTACTAGAGTTAATACCACATCTTGGCATGAACTGCTATTGCGGAAGTCTGTGGAGCATTAAGCAAGAAAATGTCTGTGGTAAAGCAACAATGCCTTAAATATGATATCACTATTTTCCTTCCTAGCTAGTTTTTAACCCTCCGTGCTTAACTTGGAAAGGGGGAAGGAGAGGAAATTTTCTAAGAAGGATGCCAAATGCCATATTATAGGCCATGTCAATGCCACAGTAATGGCAAATGAGCATTTTTCATGTTATTCAGAAGACACTCCTTCTACAACCAATGTGTAATTTCAAAAGTATTGATTCTGAATATCCATCTAAGACTTCAAACTGCCACACCCAGTTTGCAGTAATGAGTCACTCATTTCTTAGAATTAATGACAAATGTTCAGTAGTTTCCAACAGTATCCAACTGAAAAACCGAAAGCAGTTGAACTGTTTTGTCTCACAACAGTACTGTACAACATGTCTGTCATAATTAACAAAATACAGTAGAGTCTTGCTTATCCAACCTTCGCTCATCCAACGCTCTGTATTATCCAACGCAGTCTGCCTCCCGTCTGGATCCATAGCTCTTTCAATACATTGCAATGTTTCGGTGCTAAATTTGTAAATACAACAATTACTGCATAACGTTGCCGTGTATTGAACTACTTTTTCTGTCAATTTGTTATAAAACATGGTTTTTTGGTGCTTAATTTGTAAAATCATAATGTAATTTGACATTTAATAGGCTTTTCTTTAATCCCTTCTTGTTATCCAACATTTTTGTTTATGTAATGTTCTGCCGGCCCGTTTTATAGAATAAGCGAGACTCTACTGTAGATGTGTTTCTGGGCTTTAATTCTTTAACAGAAAGTGTGGTACCACAGGCAAGAGCAACACAGATTGAATAGGGACAGGTTCCTATACCACAAAAAAGAAGAGCAATTCAAAAAGTTTCAGCGCATGAAACAACCAATGCGCACATGAAACAACCAAATCAGGAAAGCCTGGAATAAGGAAACAAAACATTTTGACCTTTTAAAAGATCTCTTGGGAGCCCCTGGTGGTGCAGTGGGTTAAACCACTGAGCTGCTGAACTTGCTGACCGAAAGGTCAGCAGTTCAAATCTGGAGAGCGGGGTGAGCTCCCACTGTTAGCTCCAGCTTCTGCCAACCTAGAAGTTCAAAAACATGCAAATATGAGTAGATCAATACATACTGCTGCGGCAGGAAGGTAGTGGCGCTCCATGCAGTCATGCCAGCCACATGACCTCGGAGGTGTCTACAGACAATGCCAGCCCTTCACCTTAGAAATGGAAATGAGCACCACCCCCCAGAGTTGGACACAACTAGACTTAATGTCAAGGGGAAACCTTTACCTTTACCTTAAGGATCACTTGAAGACTGTCCAAAATGTATTCAAGGACAACCTTGAGCTTTGCGACTTCATTGTTTACTGCAGCTACACTGCCACAAACCCACATTGAAAGTCTGTATCTTTCCCATCTTTTCACCATCCTTCCAGTATCAAGGTAGCTAAAAAGCTTTCCAGCAAGACAGTAGATGAACCAGAAATTGTGGGGGCAGGTTGGGCAGAAAAAGCATTTACAAAAAGGAGGTTCATTCTGACATTTTGTATGGCTGTATAGTGGAAATTCCTTATGTCCTTACTTTTTGGACTCAGCATTTCCTGCTTGTCCTGACAGGTAGAAAGCAGAAATCAATGGGTAACACTTGGGCCATTCCCACTAGGAAAAACAGCCCTCATTTGTCTTTCAGAGTAGTCAGGATCCAGCTGGAATTTCACTAGGTATGTCTCAGAAAAGGCAGTCTCTGCCCCATAGAAGTCATCTCCGTCATGTCAGAAAAATGCCACAGATATTTCTGCTCATATGAGACCTGCCTAGAGCAAGGAAGACAAGTCCTACGCACCAGCACTACAGAGTCTCATTATAAGAAGCAAGAGTATTGTACTTACAGACAGGGTAAGACGGATCTCGACGTGATTGCAGTTTTTGGACAGCTTTTTCCTTAAAGCTCTGATGGCATCTTTAGGCCTGTCGTTGTGATAAACATAACCAGAGAATGTATTATTGAGTGAACAAGCATTTGGCCTGTTACCCAGGGATACAGGAGTAGATTCTGTGCTTATTTCATGCTCGAAAAAATAGTCTCAGGTTGGAAAATCAAATATAGATGAAGGCTAGTGCATTCTGCTGTGCTGGTCACGCAATGGTTGCTTTGATGATGGTTAGGTCATGTGCAGAGAGTTTCATAGGGTCTATGCCAGAGATGTACACAGCTGGTGGACAGTGTCACCCACAAACCAGGAATAGTAGGCAGCTTTCACTTTCATCTAAGTAGTGCCCCTTATGTGGTGTGTTACTCCACCAAACTAGGAGGGAGAATTTATGGTCCTCTAGATGTTGGATTTGGTCTTCCACCAGATCCGACAGCACTACAATCCTGCAACATCCAAAGAGCCACAGATCCTGTATCCCACCCTACAGGCATGAAAGGCAAGGAAAGAAAAGGGTGTGTTCAGACAAATATTGAGGAGAGCTCTTAATTACTCTACTCTTAATTACTCTTCTATCCCTGCAATCTTCAATAATTTAGCCTTTTCTTATCTGAATATCCCTGTCAGTTAACCTGTATCGCACAAAATCCGGGCTTCTGTGACTGAACACTGGAACTGGGAAGAACATGAGCCATCACAGACTAAATACATTATTGTTGCTTGTGACTGATGACTGGTTGTAAATAAATCTGTATAGTAGAATGAGAACTTTCACACTCAACAGAATTTCCTCCACAGCCTTCCTTTCTTTTGCTCTCTACTTCATGCAATGCCCTCCCTTTGTAAGGAAATTCAACAATAACAATACTTCATATTTAAATACCCCATGACATGGCCCATCAATCAATCTCTGTCTTCATGCTTGCATCAGATTAAGTTGATTTAAAAGAAGAGCCCAAATTGTTTCTCCCATTCACTGGGGCCAAATGCTAATAACATCACATTACCCTACCGAAAATGGTGTGGCAAATTATGCAAGGTTAGGGGTGTTAGCAGAACAACAGTCTGGATTTCTTCCAATCTAATTACAGGATGCTTCAAAACAATCTATGTAATCTTTCTGCATGGTAGATGATAAACAACTGTACTCCGCCTCTTAGAAGGGTGCAATATGGGGGTGGGAGGGTGGATGGCCTTGCATACCTGTGTTTCATTTATTTATATATTCATATATAAGGTGTGGCAGAAGCAAGGGGAAAACATAGTTCCTCGTTTTGAGAATGGTACAGTGGAGTGCACATATTAGCATTAAGAATGACCATGCTTTAATTTTTTTTAAAAAGAAACTATTATAAATATTAAGTCAAACAGCTAGATTGTGGTTTGCATTCCCAATTGTTAGTCCAGCACTCTTGCTTCTCCCTAATAGCAACTATTCATGGGCTTCCAGGAAACCCACAAGCTGGGGAACAGCATGTGGTACTCAAGAGATATAATATTTGAAAGTATTCTTCAGAAGCTGAAGAAGGAAAGGGGAAGAAAAGGAGGACTCCCCAAGGAACCTCAGCCACTCCACCATCCTTATGTTATTTATACCAGAGTTATCTTGCTCTCCTTTGGCTTTCACATTGTTTTTTTCTCTTTGTCTCATATATTGCAGATGGTAAATTCGAAAATAGCACCTGTCTTGCATTGAAAAGGCACCAAAAATTAGGAAAAACCTTTTTAATTATAAGAACTCTTCTACTAGATTGGAGAAAGAGCTATTCAAATAGAGCAGATTGCCATGGACATTTGTGAGCCCTTTTGAGATCTTTAAACTGAAGTTGGGTGCGCATCTTTCAGGAGTGCCTTAGCTGTGCATTTCTTCATGGTAGAGGGTGGACTAGATAGACTTGGTGGACTCTCCCAAACTTTAGGATTTCTATGAGTCTGTGATACCTATAGAGTGGGGTATGAATGTGATCAGTCTACATATCAGTCATAAAACAAAGGTTCAGTTTAGCTGCAATGTGAAGAATGTAAACATTCCTGGGACTGTACAAGGATGAGTGACTTTGGATGGATGGAAGTGAGGAAAGTAATAGTGGCAGCGACTTGTGCTGGGAGACTGACACACGAAACAATCTCATTTTCATGAATCAAGAGATACAAAAGAAAAAAAACTGTCAAATAAGGACTCCTTCCAAACAAGGACTTGGTTTTAAAAAAAAGAGAAGCGGAGCCCTTTTGGTTTACAATGTAATATGAGTCTGCTGGTGCCAATGACTCTTTGCTTAATGGGGTATATCTTTGTTGCCCATCTAAATTAAATGTTAGGGATCAAGCAACACACAAGATCACAACCATTTCACTGCAAAGTTACCAGCCTTCGGCTATGTAATTTAGTTGTTCCAGCAGAGAGGCATTTTATCACTTACTGAGAAAACAGCAGAGTGCTTGGCATGGCTCCACTGGCTAAGTGGCTATCACTTTCGTTTCAGAAAAACTGTAGAGGAGCCTAGCAACAGGGGCATAGTTTGAACTAGGAAAGGGATGGATGGCCAGCAACACTGGCAATTCCCACTAGCTGTCATAGGCCAAAGGGCCCTATCTTCTTACAGGCATTCTGTTGAGACTTGTAGGACTTTTGTAAGGTTTTCCAACAAAGGGCAGAGTGTACATGCACTAAATAAAATGTTGCAATCTTGTGCACACTTCCTTTAGACCAGGCTCTCTTAAACAGAGTAGGATTTACTTTCAGCAAACAGGCACACAATGTCAGGATGTCCTAAATTTTGTCTTTGCAAATCAAGGCACGAGAAAACTTATTGTTTTGTTTCCTTAACCTACAATCCTGTATCTCACTTGGGGGTGAGTAGCTGAGGAGCACTTTCATTGGAACCACACGACATCAACACATAAATCCTGTTCTGCCATAGCACAGACAATATGAAGTTGCCTCTCACTGTGTACATATGTGTATAAGGAGTCACTCATGCACTTATGGTGAGTTTTGTGGAATGCAGTAGGCCCTTGGTATTTGCAATGGTTTGGTCCTGTGGATACCAGAATCTATGGATGCTCAAGTCCTATTAAATGCAATCACATACTAAAATGGTGCCCTTTATATAAAACAGCAAAATCAAGGTTTGCTTTTTGGATTTTTTATTTTTCATGCATATTTTCAATCTGTGGATGGTGGAATCTATCAATACAGAGGGCCAACTGTATAAGCATCCCTACAAAGAAGTGGTATGCAAGAAATATACTGTATCATTTAGATAAGAGTGCTTAGGAATGTTCTGGATGTAACCCGAAATGCCTGATCTTTGGAATCTAGGAGTGATCCAGCAGAGAAAAGATGGGGCAGGAGACTGCCTCTGCTTTACTTACCATCATAAATACTATAACTGGACTATAACTCCATGTAAACATGTACTAATTTCAGTTCTCAATTTCTAAATGCAGTTCTCCAATTATCTCAGGATGCATTTGTGATCAGATACTGAACCAGCATCGTTCTTGTTTACTAATGACTCATTTGAAGTAAGACATTTTTGCTATAGCCCCTATACATGCATCCCCTGAGTTACAAACATCCGACTTACAATTGACCCCTAGTTATAAACATGGATGGGACAAAAGGAAGTGCGAGGAAGAGGAATTCACTCCTATAAGAGTTATCACGGGAAAAAGGTGTCTCCACTGAAACTATCATCAATTCTTGTTTCCACAACAAGCCATTTTTTCAAAATCCAATTCTCACCAGGATAGAATGAGAGGGGAAATCTTCTGAACATGAGCGCAGGCAGCAGAAGAAACATTGCCGGCTGTTCCCTATGCTATCCAAAACAAAATAATATATTGGATTGTTGTAGGTTTCTTGGGCGATATGGCCATGTTCTAGAAGCATTCTCTCCTGACGTTTCGCCTGCATCTATGGCAAGCATCCCCAGAGGATGTGAGGTCATAGATGCAGGTGAAACGTCAGGGGATGCTTGCCATAGATGCAGGTGAAACATCAGGAGAGAATGCTTCTAGAACATGGCCATATAGCCTGAAAAACATACAACAACCCAGTGATTCCAGCCATGAAAGCTTTCAACAATACACACACACACACACACACATTGCTGCAGTTACAGCAAAGTACAACTTAAGAACAAACCCACAGAACCTAACTTGTTCATAACCCAGGAACTGCCTGTGTACTTTACATCAGAGAGATGCTGTCAATATAGACAGTGAAGCCTAAGAACAGCTTGGATTCAAATACCTAGTCTCTCTTTCTCTCATGCTGACTTAGTTCATAATCCTTCATACGATTATTGCGAGGAGTAATGTGCTGTCCTGAGCTCTTTAAAGGAAGGCTGAGATGTTATTAATAAATATCATCTCCAAAAAGGAAATCAAGAAACTCCCTTTCTTTCCTGCCATCCTTCATCTAGGCTTCTATATAGAAAATGCCATCTCTTTCCAGATTTTCCAAGTTTGTTTATACCATGAATCCCATGTAAATGTAGAATTCCCATTTATTTCAACAGACCATTTGTCCTGACCAGTGGGTTTAAGATTACACTTAATATCAGTTTCCATCACTGTTTTAGTTCTCTTATATGCTGCTTAAATAAATGTTCAGTGATAAACCTATTATTAAAGAAATTGCTACTGGTTATGCCAATAAAAATGCCAGAAACCTACCAAGTTCATAACACTGTTTGCAGTTGGAAATTATGAAACATATACTTTTGGGATTGCTTCTCATCTTCCCTTTTAAAGCTTCCAAAGAGTTAGTCATGTATGTTGAAGCTAAAAGGGGGTCCAATGGCTCCTTAAAGAGTAACCTTCCATGAAAAGTAACATACAAATACGTGGAGTGTGAGTTTTAGGTATATACATCTGCAATATACCTGTTTGGAGGTAGGACAGAAGAAAATGATGCTAGCGTGAAATGAAATGTAGACAGTACTGAAAGTGGCAATTACACCATTGACACTGACCATTAATCAAACTATTGCTGATAACAGAAACACCCTGGCATTGGATAAGCCAATTATCACTTGTAGTGTGGGAAGAAACCGTTACTCCAAATTAACACCTTGGCAATGCACTGTAATCAAATATATGTACCAAACATATGAGATAAAACTTCACACTTCTGATGAAGTGGGCTTTAATCCACAGATGCTCATCCTACATTTTTTTGTTGCTACCCTTAAGAACTAATCAAGGGGATTTATATAACAATTAATTTGATTTTCAGCAACTGATTCAATGGACCAGTCCTAACTGTGCCAAAAAATATTTTCTGATCTTACACCTTTGAGGTGACACAAGACTGTTTTGAAATAGTCAGACGTATATAATTGTAAATCTACATCACAATACAAAAAAAAAATACGTGCTTTTGGCTTGTGTGTGATAAAAGAGCATGCACCAGGATTGCGAGCAAGTCTTTAAAACACAGGCGTAAAACACTGGTTATCCAATTTATAATGTGGGTTTTGCAATTATATCCTTTAGACCAGTGGTTCTCAACCTGTGGGTCCCCAGGTGTTTTGGCCTACAACTCCCAGAAATCCCAGCCAGTTTACCAGCTGTTAGGATTTCTGAGAGTTGAAGGACAAAACAGCTGGGGACTCACAGGTTGAGAAACACTGCTTTAGAAGGAACACATAAGTAAAACTTTTACAATGCAAAAGCCAACACTACATTTTCACTAGCTATTTGTTTTCAGTCATGTTTAGGTTACATTTTCAGGGCTGAGGGAAAGCAGTTCTAACATGCCCCAAAAACATGAATTTGCCAGCATGTCAAGTACCAACTGTTGAATTTTAGCAGGATCTGAATTTGTCAGAGTTTTCATATCAGGTTTACTGAATGAGCTTGGGAGACTGCTTTTTAAAGTACATCTCAGAATCTCTGACCATCACTGCCAGCTTAGAAATCCACTCTCTGAATGTTAAGATACGCGCACTAACAGCAAAGCAATATAGGTCATCAAAAATTACAGGGAAAAATATCTTTACATCAATACAAGGTCAAATATTCAATGTTGGAGAAAGTGATCACTTATCAGAAAGATCTGAATCCCATGCAAAGTTTATAAAGATGATCAGCGAACTCACCCTTGTGCTGTTGTGTTGATGATGTCACAGATGTGCATGAACTGACCCCATTCTTCTGTCTGTAGTGCTCCAAAAGTAGCCTTTTCTGCAGAGAGAATTCATTTTAATGAATGCTGAAAGAATGGCCATGTGCAATATAACTTTGATCAAGTCACTGCAAATGCACGATACGGAGAACTTTTTTAAAAATTAAGAAATTATCTTCCAAATGGCCTGGAGACATGGTAAAAATGTCCTTTCTGAGTTGGAACAGTCACCACTTGATACCAAGCAAGGCAGAAGGCCAATTTGTGAGGTATTCAATAAACGCTCCACATGAAAAGTTAAGTGTGAGGAGTGAACTGTTAGATATACTCAAGTGAATACTTGGCATTAGGAAGGCCAGAAGCAGAGACTTCTGCATTGTTATTCATAACTATGCATAGAATAACATTTTAGCAGGTGTTAAAGTAAATTTCCTCTGAATGAGCCCAAGGAGAAATTAAGAGATGCTTTCTTTTGCCTCTGGTCATTTGGGACAGCATAGTACAAGGGAAACAGTTTAAAAAACCAGGAGACAAAAACTGATGAATGTTGAAATATAATGGTCAGGATTTGGAAGAGCCCTGACCATCTCCTGACTATGCTATGGAGCCCACAAGTTCAGTGGTTCTCAACCTGTGGGTCCCCAGGTGTCTCGGCCTACAACTCCCAGAAATCCCAGCCAGTTTACCAGCTGTTAGGAATTCTGAGAGTTGAAGGCCAAAACATCTGGGGACCCACAGGTTGAGAACCACTGCACTAGTTTGTTGGGCTTGTTGTCTTCTCTCAGCTTTAATCATCTCAAGAGATTGTTATGATGAAATATTGTAAAGGAAAGAGATGTAGTACTGTAACAAGCTCACAAAAGTCTGGTGGCTACAAGGAAAAAAGCAATATAGTCAGTTAACACATTTAATTAAAAAAAACTTTGCCAGGTTGCTTAACACAACCAAGGAACCAGAAGAGGAACAAATTAAATCATGCTCTTCCAATTCAGCATAATGGGGTCCCCAAAATGCATGTGTTTATTGATTCTTCTGAGTATGGTGGAAGGCGAAGTAACTGCAGTCTATCCCAAGAGATGCACAGTCTAGGGAAAACTGACAAATTCATGATGAAACCTTAAGAGATGAAATTGGAAGATGCCGTTGAAGTATATGTCGAAACAGATATGCACCCACATAGTAAAGGTTTCCCCTTGACATTAAGTCTAGTTGTGTCCAACTCTGGGTGGTGGTGCTCATCTCAGTTTCTAAGCTGAAGAGCCGGTGTTGTCAGTAAACACCTCCAAGGTCATGTGGACAGCATGACTATATGGCGCGCCATTACCTTCCCGCAGAAACAGTACCGATGGATCTACTGCATGTTTTTGAACTGCTAGGTTGGCAGACACTGGGCCTAACAGTGGGAGCTCACCCTGCTCTCCGGATTTGAACCGCCAATCTTTCGGTCAGCAAGTTCAGCAGCTCAGCAGTTTAACCCACTGCACCATTGGGAGGGGGCGCACATAGATATTTGGCTTATAGCTCCCATTTTTTATCACTGGCCAATGTTGGATGTGACTGATGGAAGTATAGGTCAAAGCCTCTGTAAAGCACCCTTCACCTGTTCTGAAAGCTAATCCAGACAACATGGCCCCATGGTCATGTCCCACATCAAGGTAAATGACTAGGAGAGAAAGGAGTCAGGAAGACAGGAAGTGCAACTGCAGGAAATTAGCCACGTTCCTCCAGTCTCAATTTGCCACAAGGGGCAGTTATATATTCATGTATAAGTCTAGAAATTTTAGGGGTGGAGGGAAATTAACCCTAGAAATCTAGACCACCAGATGTTTTGAATCTCAATCATAAAGATAAAAGTGTTATCATGATAATCACCATCATGAACCTATCCATGGGTCAATGTAAGTGCTGTTCCTTCACTCTTGTCACTTCTGAGCAGAGTGGTAAAAAAAAAAAGGAATGTAGTCCATCCTGGAAGAATCTAAAAGGAACTTAATGTTAGAAGCACCAATGCTCTCTGTTGCGGCACAGATTCTGGCTGTTTTGGATGCCTGAATGGGAAAATGCTGGTGGTAGTGGCCAAAAAGACTTTGCGGCTCTTCATCTGCTGACTAAAGTTCCCTTATGGGGAATGTTAACTTCCCGGATAAATATAAGGATTCCATCCATTCGTTTGCTTTTCTCCTAATGCAAGCAGGGCAAGTGAAAATGAACGTGGAAATCTTCTCCAGGCAGTAAGATAGAGCAACAGGTAAAAATGCAACACTTTATTTTCTATTCATTAGACAATGGTTAGGAGTAAGATGGCAAAATAACAGCAAAGAAACACTGTTAGAGGATGAACTAGGTGATCCCAGTCCCAAAGAAGTCTCCTGCTATGGCAACAGGAGTTGGGAGGGACTGGAAAATATCAATCGCTTCTTGAGAGTGTCATCCAGAAGCCTAAACAACACAAGAGTCCCCTAAGCACTTATGTGATTCAACTTTTTAGTATAACAAGCATTCACAGCTTACTTCTACAAAATGTATACTTTTTAAAAAAACTTGTCCACTTCAGTTAGGATGCAGGGTGCATCTACACTGTGGAATTAATGCAGTTTGACACCACTTTAACTGCTCTGGCTCAATGCTATGGAATCATGGGTGTTGAAGGTTGCTGAGGCACCAGCACTCTTTGGCAGAGAAGGCTTAAGATCTTGTAAAATTACAACTCCCAGGACTCCATAGCATGGTGTCCAACTGCATTAATTCTAGAGTATAGATCTACCCTCAGTTGTTTCAACTGTGGTAGAGACCACTTGAAGCATTATTATTGTACTACAATATATCTGAGGAAGTACATGATAAAATAAAGGGCCTAGTCTTCAGAGAGACACAAGAGCAAGGGTTACAGGCTGAATATTAAGAAGGCAAAATAATGACCACAGACAAGTCCCGTAACTTTAAAGCAGGTAATGAAGACATCTCAGTAGTTAAAGATGTGCAATACCTTGACTCAATCATAAATCAAAATAGACTGTAGTCAAGAAATTACAAGAAGGGAGGATCTGTAAGAATTTGACAATGATCCTCAAGAAGAGAGACATATATCAAAGTCAGGATCATCCAAGGCCGCAGTATTGTTTTCTATGTATGGTTGTGAAAGATGGGGCATTTGTATCCTGTCCTTCTTGACCTCTGAAGAGGGACTCAGGATGGCTACCAACCGGTAATATTCAGTGCCAACACAGAAAAAAACATAGCTTAAAATACGATTAACACAAGTAAAACAATAATATATATACAGTACAACAATTTGCCAGATTAAATCGTCATCCTCAGTCCATTGTAGTCCATTGTCTTTCCCAGCAAGTCAGTCTATTTTGCAAATGCCGGATCCCACATCCAGGATTTGAGTTTCTTCCAGAAGGTCAGGAGTGAGGGGGCGGATCTGATCTCATTAGGGAGGGAGTTCCACAGCCGAGGAGCCACCATGGAGATGGCCCTGTCTCTCGTCCCCACCAAACGCGACTGTGATGGTGGTGGGACCAAGAGCAGGGCCTCCCCAGACAATCCTAAGGTCCTTGGTGGTTCGTATAGGGAGATACGTTCAGACAGGTAAACTGGGCCGGAACAGTTTTGATAGAAACAGCATCAACTTATTTAAAATATGGTGTTGATAGATACTTTGGAGTACTAAAACCACAAGTGAATAGGTTCTAATGCAAATCAAACCTGAAGTTTCACTAGATTTTCAGCTGTATTTGCACTTTGAATGCATCATGGGATGGCATAATTCACCATTGATGGCAATGCTCAGAAAAGGAAGGCAGTAAGAAACGTGGTGATTGCATTACAGATGCATTGAGTCAATCAAGGAAGTCACAGCCCTGAGTTTAAAAGGCCTTGTTTGATTGTGAGATCACTAAGGATCCTGCAGATTTCCCGTTCATAGGGTTGCCATAAGTCAAAGTCAATTTGACAGCAACAATCACCACAAGACTCTTTCCTGTCCTTTGTTTTGACACTGAAACAGATTAATGCAGTTTTCTCTTTCAACTGAATGATGGCTCAAACGATACAAGCTGTGGCTTGTGAGCACATACAAATCACCTTAATGCAATCACTCTCTTTCTTATCCTAACAATAAGACCAGTGTGCCCTTTGGGCCACTCCAGAGGAAAGCAACTAACAAGCCAATAACCATCCCCAGCCAAGGGACAGCATTCTGCTTGTGGATGTTGGGAGCTGATGTCAAGAGAAAGATAAGAGTCGACGTGATAACCCTATTTAAATATGATGATATTTAAAATGATGACATAAAGAACAATAGATTAAAAAATAAGAACAGAAATTCCACCTAAACACTAGGAAGAACTTCCTGATGGTAAGAGTTGTTTGGCAGTGTAATATACTGCCTTGGTAAAAGACTCCTTCTCTGGAGATTTTAAAGCAGTGGCTTGATGGCCATCTGTTGGGAGGGCTTTGTTTGTGTTTTCTTGCCTGATTGAATGGGGTTGGACTAGATGGCCCTTGTGACCTCTTCCAACTCCATAATTCTAGGGCTACAGCTACACAGTAGAATCAATGCAGTTTGACACTACTTTAACCAACATGGTTCAATGTCATGGAATCATGGGAGTTGTAGTTTGACAAGGTCTTTAGCCTTCTCTGCCATGTGTCCATAGCACTGAGCCATGATAGTTAAAGCGGCATCAAACTCCATGATTTCTACAATGTAGAGGCAGCCAGTGCTGTGGAATCATGGAAGCTGTAGTTTTATAAGGTCTTTTGCCTTCTCTGCCAAAGAGTGCTGGTCCCTTACCAAACTACAACTACCAGGATTCCATGGTAGTTGTAGTTTGGTAAGGGACCAGCGCTTTTTGGCAGAACCGCGTTGAGTCGCCGATAGGCTGAGAAAAGTGGTATACAAGTATAGTAAATAACTAAATAAATAATGGAAGTTCAATTGGTGTCAAACTACATGAATTCTACAATGTAGATACACCATAGGTCCAACCCAATGGCAAGGAGAAAGTCTTAACTTAAAGGGAGCAACTATCTGGAGATTTCAGACAAGCTTTTAATCTCTGCCTCCCCCCCCCCCCTCCATTATTTATTCTTTTGTTGGTGTGTTTGGGTTTTTTGCGTCAGGAGTGAATTGAGAAACTGCAAGTTGCTTATGGTGTGAGAGAATTAGCTGTCTGTAAGGACGTTGCCCAGATGTTTTACCATCCTGTGGGAGGCTGCTCTCATGTCCCTGCAGGAAAAGCTGGAGCTGACAGGTGGGAACTCACCCCACTCCCCGGATTCAAACTGTCGAACATTCGGTCAGCAGTAGTTCACTTTGCATCCAGAAAGCATTGTGAACCCCACCAATGATGGATCTGGGCCAAACTTGGCACACAGGCCAAACACTCAAATAACCCAGGTATAGCCGGGTCCCCAATCTAGTCTATATAAATAAAAATGTAATGTTCGTTTGTGGGATTAACAGAACTCAAAAACCACTGGACGAATTGCTGCCAAATTTGGCCACACGACACCTACTAACCCAAGGAGTGACCATCACTAAAAAAAAAACGAGTTTATCATTTGGGAGTTGTAGTTGCTGGGATTTACAGTTCACCTACAATCAAAGAGCATTCTGAACTCCACCAATGATGGAATTGAACCAAACATGGCACACAGGACTCCCATGACGAACAGAAAATACTAGAAGGGTTTGGTGGGCGTTGACGTTGAGTTTGGGAGTTGTAGTATACCTACATCCAGAGAGCACTGTGGACTCAAACAATGATGGATCTGGACCAAACTTGGCACGAATATTCCATATGCCCAACTAGGAACACAGATGGAGCTTGGGGAAAATAGACCTGGGAGTTGTAGTTACTGGGATTTATAGTTCACCTACAATCAAAGAGCATTCTGAACCCCACAAAGAATAGAATTGGGGCAAACTTCCCACGAAGAACCTCTGTGACCAATACAAAATACTTAAGGCCATCCAGTCCAACTCCCTTCACCAGGGCAAGAAAACGTAATCAAATACTGGGTTGTTGTAGATTTTTTCGGGCTACATGGCCATGTTCTAGAGGCATTCTCTCCTGATGTTTCGCCTGCATCTATGGCAAGCATCCTCAAAGGTAATACTGTTTACCCACAAGCATAAAGAAATTACATATATTAGAAACAACACTTTCTCATTATATTGTCAAAAGCTTTCATGGCCGAAATCACTGGGTTGTTGTAGGTTTTTTCGGGCTATATGGCCATGTTCTAGAGGCATTTTCTCCTGACGTTTCGCCTGCATCTATAGCAAGCATCCTCAGAGGTAGTGAGGTCTGTTGGAACTGTTTTCCTAGTTCCAACAGACCTCACTAACTCTGAAGATGCTTGCCATAGATGCAGGCGAAACGTCAGGAGAAAATGCCTCTAGAACATGGCCATATAGCCCGAAAAAACCTACAACAACCCACTTTCTCATTACTTTATTTTCCAGATCAGCAGACTGAGCCACAGCAACGTGTGGCAGGCCACGGCTAGTATAATATAAATATCATAAGGAAAGAAGCTTCATTCCAGGACAGCCTGAACCTGGAGCCAAGACAACTAAAGTTCTTTGCAGTTCCTTCCAATTCAAACCCAATCCTGAAGTCCATCTACACCAGGCATGGGCCAACTTGGGCCCTCCGGGTGTTTTGGACTTCAACTCCCACAATTCCTAACAGTCTACCGGTTGTTAGGAATTGTGGGAGTTGAAGTCCAAAACACCTGGAGGGCTGAAGTTTGCCCATGCCTGATCTCCACTGTACAATGAATACGGCTTGGACCCCACTTTACCTTGCTATGGCTGGATTCTATGGAAGAGTGGGAGGTGTCGTTTCACAAAGTCTTAGCTTTCCCTACCAAAGGATCCCTCTCCCCCAACCCTCATGCTTCCATAGCAGTTCAAGTGGAATCAAACTGTATTAACTCTACAGTGTAGATGCCCTTCCGTTGGCAAGAAGAGAGGAGGGCTTATTCTTACCAATCAGGTGCCCCACGGCGGTGCCGAAGGGGTCCTTCTGGCTCTTCCCGAAAGCCATGTTCTGGTCTCCCAAAGGAAAGCGAGGGACTTGGCCCGGGAGTTGCTCCTGCTCCTGCTGCTGCTTCCTTGGACTCTGGCTCCTGCCGTTTGGGAGCCAGGCTCCGTCTCCGCTCCAAGGAGGAGGAGCCAGAGGGAAGCTCCAGGTGGGGCTCCTGGCCGAGGATCCTCCCCGGGAAACGCAAGAGAGAGAAACAGAGAGAGAGAGAGAGAGAAATAGGGAGAGGAGGAGAGAAAAGGGGCGCAGCAGCCCTGACCACGCAGAGGAGGGACTTCCTCTTTCTCCCCCAGCCAAACACGGCTCAGGATGCATCTACACTGTGCAATGAATAAAGTTGAACTGCTGGGACTCAATGCTATGGGAATCCCGGGAGTTGTAGTTTTACAAGATCTGTAGCCTTCTCTGCCAAGGCGTGCTAGTGCTTCAGCAAACTCCATGTGAAAAGGGCCAGGCCTACCATTAGCCATGTGGCACGTGCTTTGCAATAGCATTGACAGCCTTCTCTCTCACTGTTTGTTTATTTATTTATTTGCTAGCTTTCCCCTGTCACGCGTTGCTGTGGCCCAGTCTGGTGATCTGGAAAATAATGAGAAAGTGTTGGTTTCTAATATATGTAATTTCTTTATGCTTGTGGGTAAACAGCATTTCTTGCTTTTTCTTTTTCAGTGTTGATGTGGAGATTGTCGGGTTTGCCTACTCTGGAAGATGCAACATATCATTGTCCTTCTTTAGGGGTCCCTTTCAAATCTATGATACTATATCTGTGTGTATGTGAATCATATCTATCAATCTATATCTATGGCTGGTGGCTCTTTGTCAGGAGGGCTTTGATTACCCTGGTGAAGGGAGTTGGACTGGATGGCCTTAAGTATTTTCCGTTGGTCATGGGGGTTCTGTGTGCAAAGTTTGGTGAGGTTCAGAGTGGTCTTTGATTGTAGGTGAACTATAAATCTCAGCAACTACAACTCCCAAATGTCAAGGCCCATTTTCCCCAAACTCCACCAGTGTTCACATTTGGGCATATTGAGTATTTGTGCCAAGTTTGGTCCAGACCCATCATTGTTTGAGTCCACAGTGCTCTCTGGATGTAGGTGTACGACAACTCCCAAACTCAACGGCAATGCCCACCAAACCCTTCTAGTATTTTCTGTTGGTCATGGGAGTCCTGTGTGCCATGTTTGGTTTGATTAAGCCTACAAATTAACATTACATTTTTATTTATATAGATAACCAATAACTCACTTAAGTATGTAGAACTAATGAATTGGCCAGAAATGTAAGTGAACCTGAGAACTCCTTAAGTGCTGTGAGTTTTCCAGGCTTTATGACCATGTTCCAGAAGCATTCTCACCCAATGTTTCGCCCACATCTATGGCAGTCATCCTCAGAGGTTGAGGGGTCTGTTGGAAGCTAGGCAAGTGGGGTTTATATGTCTGTGGAATAATGTCCAAGGTGGGAGAAATGACTCTTGTCTGCTTGAGGTAGCTGTGCATGTTCCAGTTGACCATCTTGATTAGCGTTGAATGAACTTGCAGCTTCAAAGACTGGCTGATTGCTGCCTGGGGGAATCCTTTGTTGGGAGGTGTTAGCTGGCTCTAATTGTTTCATGTCAGGAATTCCCTTGTTGTTTCAGTGTTCCTCTTTATTTACTGTTCTAATTTCAGAGTTTTTAAAATCAGGGCCAGCTAAAACCTCCCAACAAAGGATTCCCCCAGGCAGGAATCAGCCTCTCTCTGAAGCTGCAAGGCTATTCAATGCTAATCAAGGTGGCCAATTGCAACATTCACACTTGCCTGAAGCAGACATGAGTTCTTTCTCCCACCTTGGACATTGCACATATATATATAAACCCCACTTGCCGAGTTTCCAGCAGATCTCATAACCTCTGAGGATGCCTGCCATTGATGTGGGTCAAACATCAGGAGAGAATGCTTCTGGAACATGGCCATGCAGCTTGGAAAACTCACAGCAACCCAGTGATTCCAGCCACGAACACCTTCAACAACTCCTTACATGTGAAAAAGTTGCTTTCCTTGACTGCAAGTCTCAGGATTCTCCATAGAGGATGCTGCAAAGTATATTGGTACAGTCGTCCCTCCAGATCCACAGATCCAACATGGCTGGAAATGAGTTGAAGGTACTATTCCATTATTTGGGTGGAGGCCACTTGTGGGGCACCTGAGAGAGAAGGATAGTCCATTTTTTGGGGGTGGAGGGTAGGTTGAAGGAGGAAAATGATGTCCCCTGTTTTCCAGTTATTTCCTCCCCACCCATGTCACCATAAGTGGGAACAGTCCTCCTTATGATATGGGAAGTGGGGAGGGGGAATAACCAGTGGAAACAGGGAAAATGGTTTTCCTTCTTCAAATGGACTATCCTTCTCTCCCCCCCCCCCCCCCCAATGGTCTCCACCCAGATAATGAAACAGTACCAATTTGAATGTTGTGAATCCTGGGATAAGTAGTTTTACAAGGTCTCTCACCTTCTCTGCCAATGAGGGCTAGTGCTTCACAAAACTACCCCCTGCCCCAGTGATGACATAGCACTGAGCTAGGAAAGCTAGCATGAGGTAAAACTGCATTCATTCTGCAGTGATGTAGCCCAGTGTTGTGTTATCCTGGCATTTGTAGTTTTATGATTTTTTAAGCAGTCTCTGCCAAAAGAATGTGAAGACTTCACCAAACCTCAAATCCCAGCATGCCATAGCACTGAACCATGGCCGTTGAAGTGGTATCAAACTTCATTTCACAGTATAGATGCACCCTTAGGTTTTTAGATGCTTTGGTTCTCCCGTATTCAGCCGTTTCCCAAAGTGGGAGTAACTTTGGGAAAGCTAGAGAAGGTCTTGTATCCTGGCTTCTAGCCCATAGCTAGTCCTACATGCAGTTGTTGTTGTTGTTCATTCGTTCAGTCATCTCCGACTCTTCGTGACCTCATGGACCAGCCCACGCCAGAGCTCCCTGTCGGCCATTACCACCCCCAGCTCCCTCAAGGTCAGTCCAGTCACTTCAAGGATGCCATCCATCCATCTTGCCCTTGGTCGGCCCCTCTTCCTTTTGCCTTCCACTTTCCCCAGCATAATTGTCTTCTCTAGGCTTTCCTGTCTCCTCATGATGTGGCCAAAGTACTTCAACTTTGTCTCTCGTATCTTTCCCTCCAGTGAGCAGTCGGGCTTTATTTCCTGGAGGATGGACTGGTTGGATCTTCTCGCAGTCCAAGGCACTCTCAGAACTTTCCTCCAGCACCACAGCTCAAAAGCATCGATCTTCCTTCGCTCAGCCTTCCCTCAGGTCCAGCTCTCACATCCGTAGGTGACTACAGGGAATACCATGGCTTTGACTAGGCGGATCTTTGTTGCCATTCTGATGTCTCTACTCTTTACTATTTTATCGAGATTGGACATTGCTCTCCTCCCAAGAAGTAAGCGTCTTCTGATTTCCTGGCCACAGTCTGCATCTGCAGTAATCTTTGCACCTAGAAATACAAAGTCTGTCACGGCCTCCACGTTTTCTCCCTCTATTTCCCAGTTGTCAATCATTCTTGTTGCCATAATCTTGGTTTTTTTATGTTTAGCTGCAACCCGGCTTTTGCGCTTTCTTCTTTCACCTTGATTAGAAGGATCCTCAGCTCCTCCTCGCTTTCGGCCATCAGAGTGGTGTCATCTGCATATCTGAGGTTGTTAATGTTTCTTCCAGCAATTTTCACCCCAGCTTTGCATTCATCCAGCCCCGCACATCGCATGATGGGTTCTGCATACAAGTTAAAAAGGTTGGGTGAGAGGATGCAGCCTTGCCGTACGCCTTTCCCAATCTTGAACCAGTCTGTTGTTCCGTGGTCAGTTCTTACTGTTGCTACTGGGTCCTTGTACAGATTCCTCAGGAGAGAGACAAGGTGGCTTGGGATGCCCATCCCACTAAGAACTTGCCACAATTTATTATGATCCACACAGTCAAAGGCTTTAGAATAGTCAATGAAGCAGAAGTAGATGTTTTTCTGAAACTCCCTGCCTTTCTCCATTATCAGCGGATATTGGCAATTTGGTCTCTCGTTCCTCTACCTTTTCTAAACCCAGCTTGAACATCTGGCAACTCTCGCTCCATGTATTGCTGGAGTCTTCCTTGCAGGATCTTGAGCATTACCTTGGCATGAGAAATAAGGGCCACTGTACGAAAGTTTGAGCAGTCTTTAACATTTCCCTTTTTTGGTATGGGGATATAAGTTGATTTTTTCCAGTCTGATGGCCATTCTTGTGTTTTCCATATTTGCTGGCACATGGCATGCATCACCTTGACAGCATCATCTTTTAAGATTTTAAACAGTTCAGCTGGGATCCCGTCGTCTCCTGCTGCCTTGTCGTTAGCAATGCTTCTTAAGGCCCATTCAACCTCACTCCTCAGGATGTCTGGTTCTAATTCATTCACCACACCGTCAAAACTATCCTCAATATTATTATCCTTCCTATACAGATCTTCTGTATAGTCTCGCCACCTTCTCTTGATCTCTTCAGCTTCTGTTAGGTCCCTGCCATCTTTGTTTCTTATCATACCAAATTTTGCCTGAAATTTACCTCCAATGTTTCTAATTTTCTGGAAGAGGTAATATTATTTGTTTATTTAAAACATTTATATTCCACCCTTCTCGCCCCAAAGGGGACTCGGGGCAGAGCACAGCATATATATGGCAAGTGTTCTATGCCAGAACATAAAATAACTATAAATATACGCAACCACTAAAAACAGTTACATCTACTTTAAAATCAGTAGTTTATGCTTTATGACTTTGGATGGTGAACAAAGTTCCAAGGGTGCATCTACGCTGTAGAATTAATGCAGATTGACCTGACTTTAATTGCCATGGGCTCAATACTATGGAATCCTGGGCATTGTTATTTCGTAAGGCACCATTACTCTTTGGAAGTTGTTGAAAAGTTTGTAATACAATGACATTTAGAGTGGTGACAAACTGCATCAATTTTATGGTGCAGATCCACCCTTAACATTCTTTATGACTTTGAATGACAACCAACATGTCCAAAGCTGCTAAATTTGCGACCCTTCTGCAGTTGCAAAGAGCATATTGGTACTTTGTTTTGTGGGTAAGAGTGATGTATGATGCTATTCATACACAAACACATGTATTTGGAATATAGAGACTCAGAAAAAAATGGATTGCATAAACGTGGATAGTTGAGGCTACTTTCTTAAATGTATAGATATTCCAGATTAACATGGCAATGCCTTTTAATTCTGCCCTCATATTTTCATAAGACGGTTCAGGACTCT